TTCATCCCATGTCCCAAACCCATACGGGTTAACGGGTACCCATTACCTGTACGGGACGGATAACGGGTACCCATACTACCCGTAAATACCCGTCCAATACATACATCTTTGTTGCTTGCTCTTTCACTTTGCATTTTTTATGTCAGCTCTGTCACATTATGCAATGTCGAATGAATTTTCCATTAGTACTAGTTGAAGGAGAACTCACCAGGACCTTAAATGTTTCAGCCTCAACAGCCTATCCACAGCGACTGATGATTTTTTGTCCTGCTATAACAATTAACTTGGTTTCTGAGTAGTTTTTATGGTGGTTAACTAGTCATTTCTCAATGCATTCAAGTTTTTTGGTTTGGTTATGAATGAGGTTTGGCCGTTTGGGAAATTGAATGGCGCAGCAATAGGCAAGCTAGGGGATTGAACTGGGCTTGCATATTTGGATTAATGGGTTTATCGGGTAACCCGCGGGTACCCAAAGTAGCAATTTTTTATCCAAAGTCCCATCCCGTTAAAAAAATTACGGGTATTTGGGTACCCGTAACCCTAAAAAAACGGGACGGGTACGGCTATACCCAAATACCCGTTTCCCATTGTCCGCCCCTAACATGGGAGGACTTGCACGTTTTCAAGAGGCAATTTCCCGCCTTTCCAGCTTAGTTTCAGTTTGAGGACAAGTTGTGTTTGAAGGAGAAGGGTTTGTAACAACCTGTGACAGCTGGCCAGTGATAACGTGTAAAGTAGGCACCAAAGTATAAATAGAGAAAGACGATGAGACTATTGGTCATGTCTTAACCAATAAGCTCAATTGTAACTACTTTACTTGTATCATCTTCTACCATCTCTTCAATACAGCTCGCCAGATTCTTCTCAAACGATCCTTACAAATGCCCTTCACTACACCAGAACAATTTTGTGTCTGTCGGTGCTGCAAGGATCGTCTCCCACCAAGCTTACACCATTGTCCATCCGAGTGACGACTTGATCTCTTTCAACGCTTCACTGCACTGGAGGGACACCAAAACAAGAAACTCAGTAGCAAAAGTAGTTTTTCGATGCCGGCGGGGACAGAGGTTAGATATGGAAGTTAGCATCGCGTTTGAGAGTTTTGGAGAGTGGGACGGACACCAACTAGGATTACTATAATACTCTTATTATTATTGCTGGTAGAGTGCTAAGTGCTAACACTATCCGATCCTGTACAAAAAATATTTTTTGAATTTGGATAAAATGTAAAATTTTGTTATAATTTTTTATTGTTTATGTGGCTTCCACGTCAATCAACATACTAACTCACTAACGATATTGAATATCTAATTTGACGAAGATATACTGGCCGAACCAAATTAATCGGGTTAATTGCAATGTTAGTCACTAGAATTACTAAAAACGTTCATGTTTAGTCACTAAAAATATTTAATTCCACTAATGGTCACTAAGATAAGTTAAACATTCCAAGTTTGATCACTCTCCGTCAGCCTCCATCAGCACCGTCAGTTTTTTTGCTGACGTGGCTAACAAAGATGCTGAGTCACCAAAATTTCATTTAAAAAAAAGTAAAATCAACCACCACGTCATAATATCCGCCAAGTCATAAGACCCAACCTGCAAATTAAACCCATCAATTAAACTACCTAAACCCATCAAACCCACGCCATTAAACCACCAACAATGAATAAAAACCCAACCTATGGCCCTGTTCACTTCCATTTTCATTTTCTGTTTCCATGTTATAAATTTGACAACCGAAACGGGAAAACTTGTTTACTTTTCATTCCTTTTTCTATTCGTTTCCAACTATGAAAACAGAAAGTGGCAACTTTCTGCTGTTTTCGGAAACGACAAAATGTTGTTTTCACCTGTTTTCAACATCTGTTTTCTCAAAAACAGGAAACAGAAATGAAAGTAAACAGGTCCATCGTTCTCCTCTAGAAAATTTGGCGCCGACCTAAACCTCGACCCTGCCCACCACCATCCCACGCCCGACCTCTCTAGATCAATGAACCCACCACCATTTCTCTTCAATGGCACATGCAAGAGGAAGATGCAGAAAATATTCGCGACGCTCATCGGGCTGGCATAGTAGCTCATGGCATTCATCTTCACCCCACGTCGAATCCAGATCTGACGATGATACCTGCATAGCAGATGTAGAGTGGAAGGACGGTAGGTGCTGCAATTCCGAATGTTTGCGTTTGAAAATGTGACGAGGGGAAGAGTAGGGAAGATGAAGAGGAGGGAATCACGGATGCTGGTTAGACGCCGTTCGCGGAGGGAATTCATATCTCGATTTCAAGGGGGGTTTCAGTTGTGGTTCGAGGTGGAAAGTTTACAGTCAACTGATGGATTTAGATCTGACGAATTGGAGGGGAGAGCGAAGCCCAGTTCGTGCTTCTGCACTTTGGTTGAGCGGGGAAGAAGAAGACATCGCCGGAGAGGTGGCATTCGCGGACGGCTAGAAGACGGAGGACGTTTGGAGAGGCATGCCTTCTTGATAATCTCCTCGCAGAAATCTTGCGCGTCAATGGTGACGACACCATCCATAATCTGCTTCTATCATCTTCTTATGCTACTCTAGAACCCCAATTCCTATTCAATATTCCAATTCAGAATTCCATATTCCAATTTGGAGGTAGAGGAGGAAGCGACAATGAATTTCAATTCCAAAACCAAGCCATCAACGAATGATATGCTTTCCCCTACACAACTCAACTCCTTTTTCCTTTAATGACGTGGCGGGTTGAGTTTCTAATTTTTTGGGTTAATTTTGACTGAATTGACACTTATGTTAGCCACGTTAGCAAAAAACTGACAGTGTTGACGGAGGCTGACGGAGACTAACGGAGAGTGATCAAATTTGGAATGTTTAACTAATCCTAGTGACCATGAATGAAATTAAATATTTTCAGTGACTAAACATGAACGTTTTTAGTAATCTCAGTGACCAACCTTGCAACTATTCGTCGCCCTAAAAATCTTTATTCGTCTCCCTAATTATGTTAAATTTAATCTAATGTCCTTAGTTTAATTTTTTGCTTTTCGAACACTGAGATAACCAAATGATAAAAAAAAACAAAATTCGATTTTACAGATAAATCCAAAAACAAAAGTAGTACCCTGATCAGATTACAATTGTTCTTCTGAGACAATAAGAAATGACGAAATACATACACACTACAAATAATAACTAAATACAGACTAATCAAATGGGTGGGAAAACAATCCATCTCTCCTTCTTCTTCAATTACTCGTTCATGAACAGATGGGAAGATCCTCAAGAGGTAGTTTCATTCGGACGGGCTGAACGACTCGATTGTGCCCGGGACGGCCTTCTTCCCCGAATTAGGACAGGCGGCACCGTCACCGGCGCTCTTGGATGGGTTCCTGACCTGAGAAGAAAACCCTCAAAAGAACCTCCTGCCTTTGCAGACTCCAATTCTCCAAACTTCTCCATTTCCAGAGTTCTGTTCCATTCCTATTACCTAGAGAAACCCATCAAACAAACCATGAAAATTTCCCCCTCGCCTTGTTTCTAACCCTCGCCGCCGCCGCCCTTCAGAACTATTCCGGACACCAATTCTGAACTGCGACGCCTTTGACGAGCTCACCCCGTCCCTGGAGTTCCTCTACACAGATCATTTCTGCCCAGATGTAGGGGTGGGGGGTTGGGTTTGGCGTGAGATGAGACTTAAGGATTGTTTGTGTAGTGTTCAGTTAGAAATTAAGACTAGGGATAAATGTATAAATTGAATGAATTTAAGCGATATAATTTAAATTTTAGGGCTACAACTAGGGGATTAACAAATTAATCTATACGCTGAGTAGTTTAAGGGGTCGTTTGGATGAGTTTTTTAGATGAGTTATTTGGGTCTAAATAACTCACAATGAGTTATTTGAATCCAAATAATCCGTTTGGCTCCACAAAACTGAGATGAGTTATTTGGGCCCAGAGTTATTCTCAAATAACGCAAAATGCGTTATTATCAATACCACCCACCCCCGTGTTATTTAGAAATAACGCATAAGGCGTTTTTTGTTCCCCTTTCTGACCCTGCCTCTTTCATCTCTTTCTTTTCCCCCCCTCTTTTATGCTCCTCTCTCCTCGCTCTTTCTTCATTTCCATTTGCAGATCCCCTTTCATATTTCCCAGCGAACTCTCCTCTTTCTCTCTTTGATTTGTTGCTTGCTTTCATTAATAAAAAAATTGTTGATTTTTTCTGCTTTAATTGAACCTCTGAACCCCACGATTGGTTTAGTAGAGAGAGACTGAGGAGAGAATCCGCCATGGTTGAGGTTTCAGATTTGTGGAGGTTTCGACTTTGTTGTTTCTGGGCTCTTGGCGACTGAATTCTCGGCGACGGGTACTTCAGATTTGTGGGGGATTCGATTTCTGCGTCTAGAGCGCCATCGAAGGAGAAGGGGAGAAGCAACGTTGAATCACCGGGAAAAGCAATAGCGAACCGCCATCTGGGTCTGCTCTGTTCTGATAGCGACGGAGGCAACGAACGATGATGATGGCGGGTCGGCGGCTTATGTTTGCTGGGAATTGATTTTGTTGTATCTTCCCCCAATTTTCATTGTCTTGTTCTTATGGATTGATTGCCTTCTTATGATAATTGAATGTGGCTTATATTTGTCTCTTCGATTTGTATTCTTGCATAAAGAGGTCCTGGCATCCATGACTATTGTCTTGTTCTTGGCAATTGGCATCCATGGTTGTTTGTCGGTTGAATAGAATGGTAGGGAAGAAGGGTAGGGACAAGGATATATTTGTAATTTAAGTTTATGTTGTTGAATAACACACTCCAAATAACTCTTCCAGCCAAACAAGATATTTTAACACAAATAACACTTCAATACCACACAAATATCCAATTGATAAAAAATGAGTTATTTGTTCACAAATACCACACCCTAATTCATAACTCATCCAAACGACCCCTAAGACTTGAGACCAGAATGTTCAATTCAAAACCACGACCAAAGTATTGGGGCGCTAGTGAAAACAAAAACAAAGCGAACAACTGAGACAAATTGTAGGACATCCATGTGCTATCTGGCCGGTGCTTGTTTGACCTCATCCCTCGTCATTTTCTGCTCCATCTCTATAACATATGATCCTCCCTAATTGAGGGGAATTCTTCACTTCACTTCCCATCCCAGTTTCCGTCAGCTGTGGCTCAGGGAACCCACCATGTCCAATCGCAGCCCACTGCTCTTCTTCACTACTCTGTCAGTCATATCGATTTTGTTGCTCCAATCCCCAGCAAGTTTCGCGAGCTATGGGGGAAGAGATGCTATACAGGCTCTAGCTACCCGTCTGGATTCTCAAAGGTTTTCTTCATCTGTTCAAGAAACTGCAGCTTATGGTGTCCTGAGAAGATTGCTTCCCCTTCCTGCCTACCAAAGCAGCTTTGTCTTCAAGATTGTCTCTAAGGTAATAGAACAAAGAGATTCATTTGTTTTTGCAGTCTTCTTTTGCTTGATAGTCGGTCTTGTTTCAACTGGATTTTGGATTCAATTCCTTTTGTCTGACGAGGGGGGTTCGATTCAGTTGTTGTCAAACATCCTGAAGTGAAGTATCGGATAGGAGTGAATTTTAGGTTGCTGAGAGAGTTAGTTAATGTACATAGTAGGACAGCGGCCATTTTTGTTATGCTGATCGATTTCCCTCGGGCATATCAGGATTCTTGCGGTGGAAAGAGTTGCTTTATGATAAGCAATCGTCTCAAGTCCAGCCGGAGTGGGGCCGAGATAATGTATGTGGTAGGCTTGTTGTAGGTACGGTAGTTGAGTTGAGGTTTGGCAAGCTTTTAATTATTCTGACATGGTTTCCTAACGCGGAACTGTCAACATTTGGGGTCGTTGCTCATTCTTCCAGCATTAAAGGAACCACAGCAGTGGACATCGTATCAGGCTTGCATTGGTACATAAAGTATAGTTGTGGCGCTCATGTTTCATGGGATAAGACTGGTGGCATTCAAATTGCTTCAATTCCCAAGCCTGGATCACTGCCTCGTGTGAAAGATGATGGGGTAATGATTCAGAGGCCTGTTCCTTGGAACTACTACCAAAACGTTGTTACATCAAGTTGTAAGTCATGAATTTCTCCAACTCCAACCATCTATCCTAGGAATTTTTATTGATGTATGCTATCATTTCCCATGTAATTGATGATACAAGCATCTAAATTATCTTCGTCATTCTGGCATTGTAAGTATACTGTACTTCTAGGCCTTAAGCAGCAACCAACTTATGTTTCATCAAGTTCCTGTAAGGAACAAATACCATTAACTTTCAGGGGTATTCTAAAACCTTGCTAGAAACCACTACATGTTTAGTGACGGGTAGAGTAATGTATTTAACATGAAAGTATGCATATAAATGTGATATCTAATATGAGCCTCCTCGTTCCAGATTCCTATGTATGGTGGAACTGGGAGAGATGGGAGAACGAGATAGACTGGATGGCTCTCCAGGGTGTTAATCTGCCTTTGGCATTCACTGGACAAGAAGCAATTTGGCAGAAAGTCTTCATGGTTAGTTGTTGTTGTATGTCTTGACATGAGACACGTCGGATCTAGGCTAAACAACTTCTTTCCTCTGTGTGCTTGTAACTGAAATCTTCTGATTATAAACTCGAACAAGAGCATCCTTAACCTGTCAATGATGTGGATGGAGAGAAGTAATGCACCTGTGTCGTATATGGTATATTTGACAAGTAGAAATAAGAATATGGGGTAGCAGCTACAGTGACTGACATGCAATCAACTATGTTGCCGATTTAGATTCCTGTATTGAATGTGACCACTGTATGTTTTGTTGACATATCCTAAAGTTTTGCATAAGTATATTCTGTTTGTCGTTGATTACTCTACTCATCTATCATCTTGGGTTGCAGAACTTCAACATCACTGCGCATGATTTAGATGGTTTCTTTGGTGGACCTGCTTTCCTTGCATGGGCTCGCATGGGAAATTTACACGGGTAGGTATGTAGGTGTTTTCACCTCACCTTGGAGGTTACCATGAATGCAATGCTCAATTATGTTCTTAGTATATACGAACGACGGGTTGGTCTAGTGGTAAAACCACTTGGTTTGAACTTGAAGGTCCCAGGTTTGAATCCCTTAAGCAGTACCCAATCACAAAAAAGTAAAAAACCTTGTATCACCCTTATCTATAAAAAAATATGTTCTTAGTATATCTGCTATGTTTTCTGAGCATAAAATTTTAGATTTTCGCACACAATCTACCATGAGACGATGTGGGAAATACAAACCTTGATGTTTGACATCACATTAGCAGAAGTAGAAAATTGTCTTCCATGAGTGAGTCATTATTTCTGCCTGCGTCTATTTTTCATACATTACTATCTTAAAACAGCTGGGGTGGTCCTTTATCACAATCATGGATGGATGAACAGTTGGTCTTACAGAAACAGATACTCACTCGGATGCAAGAACTGGGCATGACCCCAGGTGCTATTCTATGCTTTGATGAACCTGTTGTTAGATTGGTTAATCTTAAGGTTTCTGGATTTGTGAATTGCTCTCCACAAAGAAAAATATGGGTTTCGCTTTTCAGATATTCAGCATCAGATAAAAGATATACAAGTTCGTTATCAACTAACTGACAAACACCATTGCTACTCTTGGACAGTGCTGCCATCGTTTTCTGGAAATGTGCCGGCTGCTTTGAGCAAGATTTTCCCTTCAGCTAAGATAACGAGGCTGGGAGACTGGTACCCCACTTGTGTTATGATTGCTTCTTCCCTATAGATATTTCATCAGTAGGAATCTCCAAATGGTTCACTTTGTTGAGTCTTTCATGGTCCATCTATTCCTAGTATCTAATATTTATGTTATCTTATAATTTTGACAAAACCTAGTTTTTATGTTAATCACATTTTTTGTCTGAAGATACATCTTATCATCATATGTGGGTGTCTTGTTACTCATTTGGGAGATTCAATGTAGAATTCATCGGGGTTTTCTTATTCATGTTAGGAACACTGTGAACAAAAACCCACGTTGGTGCTGCACATACCTTCTTGATCCTTCCGATCCTCTGTTCATTGAAATTGGAAGGGCTTTTATACATCAACAGTTTAAAGGTATATTTACTTGCAAGTTTGTATTCCTCATGTGAATGTGATAGAACATTACGTCGGAGGTGTCATCTTCCTCTCTTTCCTTGGCATTGCTGTCCAAGATAGGGAGCTAATTTCAGTTTTTCATTCTACTGTAAGCTGATTTGTTTCACTCACAATTGATTGTCTTTCTCAATTTATCTTGTGATTATTGTTCCAGAATATGGAGATGTAACCGACATCTACAGCTGGTGAGTCCTTTGTTTCTTTGATGATATAATGTCTTGCCATCATAGGTTCATGCTAAGTAGCTTGGCAGCTTATTAACATCTTAGCCCGAAATCTTTTTAACAGCCGTGTATATATAGTTTAAAATCCCACCTTTTAGTTTTTATCACTCAGATTAATTGAAGGAGAAAAGCTGATGATGCACGAACTGGATGACACGCTTCTTGAGGAACCTTTTCTAGATAATTGTTGGCCTCTAGGTTATAATTCGGGAGTGTAATGGATGTTATCATCCTCGTATTACTAATAGATGAACCTCTGGGATTTACTTCTCGAGGAACTTAAGATCTCTTCTATCCATTTCTTTTGACAAGTGGAATACTGTTAAACTTGTGCAGAAAACTTCCAGATTTTCACCAAGCTTGTAATGGCCATTAATGGCGTAAGCATTGATCCAAGCTTCCGTTTTTTGATTGATTTGAGTATTCTTTTGCAGCGATACCTTCAATGAAAATTCCCCACCTACAGATGACCCAGAATATATAAATTCTTTAGGTGCTGCTGTCTACCAAGCAATGTCTGCTGGTGACAAGTATGCTGTGTGGTTAATGCAAGTACGTTGTCCATCTTATCTTGAAGTTTTCCATTAACCATCTTCTGCTATTCAACATTGAACTTAAATTCCTCTTAATGTCTTCAAGGGCATGACCATATTGCAATCTGTGTATCCTATTTTTCCTTTGAGACTAAATTCTCTTCATCTACTCTGTGTATGAGTTTTCCTTGTCTTTCATCCTGTCCCATCTGTAATATCATCTTGTCTGCCTGTGCGCAGGGCTGGCTTTTCTATTCTGACTCCGCATTTTGGAAGCAACCTCAAATGGAGGTAAAGTAAACGGAAGCCAATTTTGTAGTAACATTAATTGTATTGGAATCAGAAACGTTTTCAGAGATACAAGTCATTAAGGTGCAGCTTTTAGGGCTCAATGATCAATAGACCTCAAATATTAGGAAGATAGGGAGAAAAGAATCACAAGCTCAATTATTTCTTCTGATACTCCATCTACTGTTGAATTTGTCTGTCAAGAATCCTGCACTTGCCACCTTTGCTCCGCTGTTAGAATGAAACCTGGTTTTCTTTTAACTCCGTTTATGCAGGCACTTCTACATTCCGTCCCGTTTGGCAAAATGATTGTACTCGACCTGTTTGCTGAGGCCAAGCCAATCTGGGAAAGTTCCTCTCAGTTCTATGACACCCCATATGTCTGGTAACTTCAATTTTTTTTTTTTTTTGTATACAATGAAAAGTCCCATCATATGTGTAAATAGGCTTTTGAACGATGGTTCAATATACGATTGATCTGTGCATCTGGCTTTGACTCAGGTGCATGCTGCATAATTTTGGTGGAAACATAGAAATGTATGGCATATTGGACTCAATAGCTTCAGGTCCTGTAGATGCCCGTGTCAGCAAAAATTCAACCATGGTACTCATTTGGATTTTTATTCAACTTGCTGTCACCTTAACCAGTTTATTTATAGGTGCCTCACATTCTTTCTTCTGGCCCTGATTCAACAAGAAATTGCATTTTAGGTTGGTGTCGGCTTATGCATGGAAGGAATAGAGCAAAACCCAGTTGTCTATGAGCTAATGTCCGAAATGGCATTCCGGAAAGAAAAAGTTAAAATTTTGGTTAGTTCCCTTTGGTGATCATCATGGAGTGTTAATGTAATTAGCAGTTGGAATCGGAACATGACAATTGTTTTGACATTGATGCTATTGCAGGAATGGCTGAAGACTTATGCTCGCAGACGATATGGTAAAGCAGTTCCTGAGATTGAGGCAGCTTGGAACATTCTCTATCACACTGTTTACAACTGCACAGACGGAATTGCTGTACATTCCCAGTCTTACCATGGTTACCTCACTACGTATTATTTGACATTACTTTATCATAAATGGACTTGATAAATGTCTTTGCAGGACCATAACACAGACTTCATAGTAAAATTTCCAGACTGGGATCCATCGGTGAATCCTAGGCACATCATATCTAAACAGGATGAGCTACATACGCTCTTTGGAGGGGGGAGATACTTGTTCCAACAGCAGAGGAGTTCCGATTTCCCTGAGGCACACTTGTGGTACTCGAACCATGATACAGTGAAAGCTTTGCAACTATTTCTTGAAGGGGGAGATATAGTTAATGGCAGTCTCACTTACAGGTTATTGTTTTGGAGCCTCATGTCCTATGCATCTTGCAACCACTAGCCATGTTTCTGTACTTACTCATAGAGTACATTGCTACAGATATGACTTAGTGGACTTAACCCGTCAAGTTCTGTCCAAGATCTCAAACGAAGAATACACCAACGCCATTCTTGCTTTCCGTAAGAAAGATATTAGTGCTCTGAAACATCACAGCAGGAGATTCCTAGGGCTGATCAAGGACATTGATGTACTTCTTGCTTCCGATGACAATTTTCTACTTGGGACGTGGCTTGAAACCTCAAAGGCACTGGCTTCAAATCCAATCGACAGTAAGCTGGTAAGATTTTCAGCGAATATCAGAATTGGTGTCATAGTCAATTATGCAACCAGTGATGTGGCTATATTTGTTTGTTTTGTTTAGAATGAGTGGAATGCGAGAACACAAGTGACTATGTGGTATGATACAACAGCAGCTCTTCAGAGCAAGCTTCATGACTATGGTAATGCTATTATGTAACTATGAAACTCTTAACCTTCCTTTTCTACATCGATATTCGAAATTTTAGCCTTGACACTAAACTTTATTTTCCCTTAATCTGTGACACAGCCAACAAGTTTTGGAGTGGGTTGCTGGAAGACTATTATCTTCCCCGAGCTTCGACTTTCTTTGGCCATCTGATAAACAGCTTGGAGAAGAATGAACAGTTCAAGATGGTGGATTGGAGGGTAGAATGGATAGCATTATCAAACAAATGGCAAGCAGGTTCAAAGCTCTATCCAGTGAAAGCGCAAGGGGATGCTCTTTCTATCGCTAGAGGGTTGTATGAAAAGTATTTGAGAAATTGAGATGATAACCAACTGAACTGGTAGACATGTTGTAAAATACAGAAGCCAACCAAATAAACTAATATGAACACTTCTGACAGACTTTTGATTCTTGCACGGGCAAAGTTTCATGTTCTTTCAATATATCAAGACTTCTAAACTAGACCAATTTGGATGAAATTACTAATCAGAACCCCGATCGAGGCTGTTCTACTTGTGAACTAAAGTTGGAGCTTGCTCACCGCTTGATCTTTCAGAAACAAAATTTGAAGTTAAAGATTCAGAAAGATAAGAAATTTCTTCAATATTAGACGTAATGAACTTGTTAAGTTCTATGCATAATGAACAAGTAACCGAGTACAAATATGATCCATCTTTAATACCTCTGAGGGGCGCTATATCTACATTTTAGGGTTTTCATAACAAGATGTCGAACTACAGCAGCCCTAAAACAGCTTCCCAAAGCCCCAAGTACCAAAACCAACTTCGTCGGAACGACAATTCAGCAGAGGCAAGCAAGCATTGATTTACAAGCGACTACTCACTTTGTTATCTGATAGGCATTAAGTTTGTGAAGTGTTTTCGAAGCATCCCAACACTTGTGGCTGTGGCTTATCCATCTCGCTCGTAATGTTAAAAAAGATGATAGAAGCATTTCAAAGTTTTAAATCATTTTGAAAAGTTTCACCCTATTTGTTTTGAGACTTGTGTATGGTTAGTTGTTCATAATTGAGTTTAGTATCTTATCATTCATATAGAGCTCTCTCATGCTATTGTTGACCTTGTAAGTTCACTTATGATCCAACACCGAATATCGACGGTTGAGTGATTATTCTTAGTATTCGTTGAGTTGTATGATTGCGAGTAGTGTTGCTTGGGCACAAACACTGTTCAAGTGTGGGGTATTTATGATAATGCTCAAATTATAGTGTTTTATCGCTTACTAATTACTATATTTGACACATTTTCCCTTCCATCAATTCTTATTTAGTACATTGCACAAAATAGTTAATAGCTTGATATAGCCATCCTTACTTGTATGTGTTATTGTCTTACATGTATCCATGCTTGTATGAGTTTAATGCTTGATACCCTAGATAATCAATGTTATAGACCATTGTTATGGTTCACAGAGGCCCTAAATAGTTAATAGCTATCCTTACTTTCTTCTTTGATTGATTAGTTAATTGCACAAAGAGAAAGCACACATTTGCTAGTTGTAGTTCCTTATACATTTGGCGAAAGCTCGATTAGGAATGCTTCAATGGAAGGGATATGGTAACAGGATAGAAGATGCATCAATGCATATCATTATTGAGATTGAGATGTATGATCGTTTAGAATAAACTTTCTTATCAATTGTGTCTCTTTACTTGTCTTGTTATTGCTTTATTTATCTATATTTTGAAAGCCAACAAAATATAGGAAACCTAAACCCATCGATGTTCGTAATTGTCGTGTCTTTTTTTTTTTCCCGTTGAATCAGTTGCTTTTATTCCAAGTAAACCGACACAACGAAGCGAGACGAATCTCGAGTACAGCAACAATCTCTACCGTATCAAGCTACTAACAACTATGCAACTGTCGGGGAACAGGGAAAGAACCAAAAAGTGAACCTTTCTACAAGTATCCCAACTCTTCTAGTATATCTCTGTAACTCCTATTGCCATAAGCTATAAATTGCAAGTCATCACGAATCAGGTCTGCCACCTGAGCAGGAGCACGACGCTGAGACCCATGAATCACACCACATCTTTCTTTCCATGTATAAGTCACCATCAAGCACCACATCAGACCATGCCACAGTCTTGTTCTTGATGTCCCAACCTTCTCCATCGCCCTCAACATCTGCTCCCAGTCATTTCGCAGCAGCATTGTACACTGCAGTTCACCTGCAAGCTGTTTCCAATAAGAACAATGAACAAACAAGTGATCTCTGCTCTCAATTGAAGAGCTGCAAAGCTGGCATGAAGCATCACTAATTTTCCCCCATCTCTGCAACTTATCTCTCGTAACAATAGCCTTCTTGACAATTAACCATACTATCAGACTACAACGCGGGGGACAATTCTTGCCCCAAACCAAACTGTACCAGGCAACTTTGGGAGCCTTATGTCGCAAGGTTTCCCATACCCTCTTAGTAGAATAGACCATCATTACTTTCGAGTCCCAGTAAACAGTACCATTCTGATTCTTCATCCAGGGATAGATGATAGACCTTAACTTTAGCAGTTTTCTCCAACCCCATGAACTACTAGCTTGCACCCTTACTGACCACAAGTCCAAATCCCTGCATTTATACGTTTTCATCCATGCTACCCACAAGGTCCCAGAATTCATAAGAAACAGCCATAGTAACCTTACACAACAAGCCTGATTCCAAGCTCCTAAGTCCTTCACCCCTAAACCCCCTTCCTGCTTAGGCAGAGAAATAAATTCCCAAGCCACTTTCGCCCTGCCTTCAGCAACACCATGCCATAAGAACTGCGAGCAGACTTTCTGAATCCGTTTCAAAGCTAGTTTAGGAATGACAAACAATTGCATCCAGAACTGAACTATACTAAGGAGCACTGAGTTCAGGAGCTGTAACCTCCCTGCATATGTGAGCTTTTTAGCTCGCCACGTTTTAATGCGCTTTGTGATTTTATCCACCAAATTATCAATCTCTGAGGAAGAAAGTTTACCTGCCAGTAGAGGCAGTCCCAGGTATCTGACAGGTAAGGCCCCTTCCTGGAACCCTGAAAGCTCCAGTGCATTGGTTTTGTACTGAACTGACTCACCCCCAAAATATATTTCGCATTTAGCAGGATTGCACTTTAGACCTGACACCCTATAGAAATGGTTGAGAACTTCCCTTACCTGAACAATTGCTTGAGCAGAACCTTTAGTAAAAATGAGGAGATCATCCGCAAAGCATAAGTGATTTAACTCGACTTTCTTACACAGAGGGTGAAAAGGCACTGCTCCTGATAGACTTGCCTCCTTCAAGAGTGTGGATAAGCCTTCCATGGCTATGGTGAACAGGTAGGGTGACAAGGGGTCACCCTGCCGAACTCCCTTCTTAGCTCGAAAAAAGCCACAAAGACTACCATTTATGTTAAAACTGTAGTGAGCAGTCTGTAGGCAGGTTCTAATCCATAACAGAAACTTCTCAGGGAATCCAATAGTCTTCATCATAATGAACAGATACCTCCAATTTACAGAGTCAAATGCCTTCATTATGTCCACTTTTATTGCACAGCGAGATGAGAGATGTTTTCTATTATAACCACTTACTAACTCCTGAGCTAACAGAATGTTATCCATAATGCTTCTACCTTTAATAAAAGCAGATTGGGAGCTGCTTATGATTAAAGGCATTACTTCACGGATTCTAGTTGTTAAGATTTTAGCTATAACCTTGTATAGGATGTTAAGGCAGGAGATAGGTCTAAAGTTTCTAAGAGTATCAGCATTAGTAACTTTAGGCAACAAGGACACAGCAGCAGAGTTGATGCCACTAGGAAGCATACCTGTAATGAAGAAGCACTGAATACCCTTGACTACATCTTCTCCAATAACAGCCCATGCCTTCTTGAAAAAACCAGCAGAGAATCCGTCTGGTCCTGGGGCCTTCTGTGCATTCATACTAAACACTGCAGCCTTGATCTCATCAGTGGTAACATGCTTAATCAAACCTGCACATTCTTCTTGGGGGAGCTTGTGTCTAACCAGCTTTTGAATAGCCTCAATACATGGTTTAATTTCTTCATTGGTTTCCCCTAGGAGCCTTTTGTAGAAACCTAGCACTTCATCTACTATCTCCTCCATTTTATAGACTTCCTCCCCTGACTCTTTAACCAATTTTCTTATTGCTCTTTTAGAATTCCTTATTTTTACAGCCTGGTAGAAGAAGTTGGAACACTTATCACCCACTGTCAGCCAAGATACTCTTGACTTCTGCCAGCAGAAGCTTTCATATGCTTTTGATACTTGAATAAAGTGATCCTTGGCCTGCACAACTTTCTCAAAACTGTCTGCAGAAGGATCAGAATAGGCTTGAGCATTAGCACTTTGATATGCCTCTGCAGCCACCTTAACCTGATCCTGTAGATTCCCATAAACTTCTCTGTTGAACTTTTTGAGAGCCTGCTTCACCTCTTTCATTTTCTTCTGCAAGATCTGCCATGGATTCCCAGAAGCTTCCACCTGCCAAGCAGCCTCAACCACATCTAGAAACTTGGGATGCTCTGACCAGAACTCGAAATACTTAAACGGTTTAGGCATGGTTTTAATTGGAGCAGCTGTACTAACCTGTATCCCACAGTGATCAGAAAAGTTGCCTGGAATCACCTCTACTACACAGTTCTGAAACTTCTCAATCCATTCTAAATTAACCAACGCACGATCTAACTTCCTTGCAATAGGGTTACTAACTTGTCTGTTAGTCCAAGTAAACTGTGGCCCTACTGTTCTATGATCTAGTAATTCCATGTCCCCAATCCATTCATTAAAATCACCCATACTGCTAGTTAGTTGCTTCTGATTTGATGTTTCCTCAGGACTTCTTACAGTGTTAAAGTCACCCCCAATAATCCAAGGAAGCCCCACAACTTTATACTTGGCAATCTCTCTGTACGTTGCCTGTCTCTCAGCTTCATCATTCGATGCATATACTGCCGTCAAAAAGACCCTATCCTTGTTTACATCCTCCACCACACAATGCACAAAATTTTTACTAGGCTTAATCACATGAATCTTGACCTCTGGAACCCAGAACAACCAAACCCTTCCCAAACTAGAATCCACACATTCAATACATCTCTCCCATCCTGCAAAAATTTCTTCCACAACATCTTTAGCTTTCTCTGCTCTAATTCTAGTCTCTAATACTGCAACCACGTCTACTTTGTTTCTATGAAGGACTTGCATCAAGTCCTTCTGTTTGGAGGTTTTATTAAACCCCCTCACATTCCAAAACAATACAATCATCTAGAAGTTGAGGGTTTCCCCCCACCTCCCTTCCACTGATCCCTTTTCACCTCTTTCTTCTTTGGGGCTTCCATAACCTTACCTGATTCCTTGTCTCCTAGCTGGCTTAACACATTGAAAGAAGAGGGTGAGGCTTGGATAGTACCACCTGTTTTATCTGGCTTCCAGACTCTCGGTTTAGCTCCATTCACAACTCTTTGGAATTCATCTTCAGTTGGCAATTTTGGTGA